AAAAAGCTTGGAGTGAAGTAGGAAGACATTCACGCGCTCTCTCATATTTGTATCTCGCTTGTTTATGGCAGAGGAAATCAGGTTCACCAAATATAAGTAAATTTCTTTTGACATCCGATAAAAACATAAAAATTTAGTATCGGAAAAGTTCAATTCTTTTGCAGTAATGAATAATCGGTGATGAAAATTTTTTTCGAAGTATGGATGAACCCAACACCTTCTATTTTTTTGATTTCTTCTATAATAGTAGTATGTTGTATGTTATGAGTAGCCTCGTGTATGGGTCTGAGTCACCAATGCGTTAGTAACCGATTAGTAATTTCAATCACAAAACAATTTAGTTTTTTTTAATAGCTCCGTGTGTAGAAGGCCTAAAGGTCGCGTCACACTATCGTGATTGCACCGCACGGTAGCTACCGCGTTAAAACTACCGCGCGGTAAATTCGTGTCACACTAAACGCGGTTTAACGCTCTCAGTTGTACAATTTTCGTTGTCCACGTGGGTTGTGCGTAGTGATTATAATATATTGTAATATCACAAGTAAGTTCGATTTTTATTTAAGTTTATCCTTCATCAGAAGTATTCTTACTTCTGAAGAAGATCAAAAGTAAGTTCGATTTCCATTATAATTGATAGTAATTAACTTTAATTTGTAAAAAAAAAAATCCTTATTATATTTACCAGTGCCGTAGCCAGAAAATTGTTTTGGAGGGGGGGGGGCACTTAATTTTTTTCTCACTTTTTGCAATGCTAGAACACCTAATCATCACCTATTACTTTATGGCCCCTTTGCTTATAAAGTGTTAACTACAGACCTATTATTTTTATGACTACCATTATATGCTAACAACTATGGTACCCATATATTTAACACATTATTATATTCTTATTATATTATTTGTTATTAACAAAGTATTATTATTTCTTTAATAATATTTTTAAAAATTAAAAAATAACAAAGTATTAAAATAGGGTGACCATACGTCCTGTTTTTTACAGGATTGTCCTTTATTTCAGTATTGTGTCCTATTGTCCTGACAAACTTCTTTCAGGACACTTTTTGTCCTGTTTTTTTGATCAAACGAAATTAATTTGAAAACGAAACTTACGAAAGTAATGAATAATGATTATAATTATAATCTTGTGATTGTTTGAATTTATCAGTATGAGAAGAATGTTTACGAGTTGTCGGAACTTATCTGGGTTATCGAAATGACCATTTTGGAAAAATGGGGATATCAATTTGAACCACTAAAAGTTTTTCGTTGGATTCAAGTACTAGATTTTCCAATTTGGATTGACATTTAAGAGAGTTTGAAATATATTATTAAGAATAATCCAACATTGAAATTCGATGAAGATGAACTTTTTGACGAATTTAATCATGTGATAAATGTAATGAAGGTTAATTTTAAAAACTAGTAATGGTTTAAAAGCCGAAGATAGGTGTTGTGAAATATTTAAAATTCTAGAAAAAAATTACATTCCAATTAAATATTTTACGGTTATTTTAGAGCATTCAATGGCTATTCCCGGAACTAACGCGTCGGTAGAAAGAGTATTTTAAATTACAAATGTTTTATGGACAGATGAGAAAAGTCGATTTCTCGTGGACACAATTAGATCGATAATGATCGTAAAACAACATTTTAAAAAATGTTTCTTGTACAGAATTTCATATATTTCTTTAAGAAAATCCATAATTATTAAAGCTAATTACTTCTTCAGAAAAATATGAAAGATCAAATAGTGAAAACATGTCTGAACAATCGTCATCAAAATGAATTAAGAAGTTTTATAAAAAAGTAAAGTACATGAATTTAATGTTATACAGTGTTATTAAAAATTGTGTTTTTTCACAATTAAAAATTAATAAATATATATATATATATATATATATGTCCTGTATTTTTTTTTTTTTACATATGGTCACCCTATATTAAAATATTATGTTTAAACATATATTGATAGAATAATGTATTAATTAATATAGCTATATTAATATAATTTTATCAATATTATGAATATGTGTTGTAAATGTTGTAATCACATTTCATTTTTCATTCAAATATTTTTACTATTTACTAACAAGAATACAAGATCATAACTTTTAACTTTTATTAAACATATAATAGAAAACAAGTTATAGCTGACCTAATACAAATTACAAATAGGATAGTTAAGACTAAAGGATATTATGATGGAGCAGTTAAACAAATTTAAATGATTATAATCTTAACAAAATATTTCTTTATTTTATAATATTATTTAACAAATGGGTTAAAAAAATGTAAATATTATTAAAAATAACAAATTATTCTTTAATATATTATAATAAAGTAGTAACAGTAACAAATTAATAATAAAATAATAATATACCATGTCCCCATTAACTATATACCACTTGGCACTTGAGCACAAAACAATAAAACATTATAATATAATAATATGATACTATCAAACCATAACCGTGTTCACAACAAAAATGGAACGCACTTGTATTTCTTAGCTGAAGTCTGTGCTTATCTTTACTATTTTACAAATTTTATGAATATAATTATACAAATTATAAAATTAATAACTTATTGTTATTCGTTATCATAGATTAATCTTGAATTATATAAATTAAAAAATTTCTGTGCGATGTACTATGGGTCTTTGACCACCAAAAAAAAAAAAAAGGATTTCGGGGGGGGGCCCTGCCCCCCAGTGCCCCCCCTCTGGCTACGACACTGATATTTACCTACCTCGTTTATAAGTTAACTAATACATTTAGTAAATAAATTTCAAGTATATTAATTTATTTAATATTATATATTTGAATACTGTCATTACATGGATAATACATAGTAATACCTAATATACGTACCTATATAAAAAATAAAAAAATAAATATATAAAAATTTTAAACTTACTCTTAAGTTCTTGTTCTTCTTTGTTATAACTTTCCCATTCGTCATACATGTTTGAAGCAATTTTGGCCCAAGCTTTTGCTTTAACATAGCGGTCCACCATATACTCTTTGGAATTCATTTTCTAAAGGCACTCTTCTTTTTCGACTTCCACAATAAAAAGTTCAGTGTCGAAAAAACTCATTTTGAATAAATTGTTAATATTTTATACAGAAAACGCACGTTGCTACCGCTGTAGTGTGGTGCATGTGATTGAAAACCATGGGTTTTTATTTTGAGCGGTCGAAAATAGTTCTAACGGCGCTGCCGTCAAATCGCGACACACAACGACGTTGTGCGGCGGCTAGTGGTAGAACGTGATGGAAACGCCCAAGTGTGTCACGTTCCATAAATACACATGTGATGATATTTACGAACGAAACCGCAATAGTGTGACGCTACCCTGTGGTTAGGCCGTGGCCTACACTAAAGAATAAAAATAGATAAAAACAAAAACCAAATATATGATTTTATCATTCGATTCATGAGACTGCCTGATCGCCAACAATTACCTATGTTAATTATTGTTTATTTTTATTTTCTATTGTAACATATAGGATGTTGGTATTGCTATCAAAATATATTATATTTGGAATTTAAATATTTTTTTAGCTGAAAAGTGGTATTCAGAATATATTTAAGGTTGGTGGAGAGGGGAAGAGGGAGGAAGCCCCCCACGGGTCTGTGTCAAATAATTGCGCACATGGAACGCAGTTTTCAAATTGTTGGACTAAACTTTCCTACTTAATTTTTCCCATTTCGAGCACTGCATACATGTTTACAGTCTTTAGTTATTAATATTAACTATTTAGGTATTCTATTACTGTACATTTATATTAGACATATTACTCATTTGTAATATACATTGATTAAATTTGATCAATAAATATTTACTCGTATACACATAAAATAATGTTATTTAAGTATTATGTACGAGTATTATTATGTATTATGTATATTAGACAATATATGTACCTATCCTTCTACCTATTTTGTATTATAAATTTAAAAATGTATCGTATAAATTAATAGCTTATTATATTGATTTGATTAATGGAACATTTTCAAATAGGATGTAATTCGAGTAACCTTTTTAAAAAAAATGTACGGGAGATATTTCGAGTTTGCTCAAATTATGAATTTCTATGCTATTACAACCAAGTGAAAAGTGATAATTCAATTAATTGTGATTGGTAAATAAAAGGGTAGAAATCGGCAAATAATAATTATTAATATAAATTATTTAATACTTATATTTTATGAGAATTATAATTCGCATTTGTAATTTTTTGGATTTTTATAGTTAAAGAATTATTTGTAATTGAAGTATGTATATAAAAACTAAATTTTCTAATTTTTGAAATTAATAAAAAAAATGAATTCAAATATGTTGTTATAGTAATCATCGTTTTTTTATGTATTCTATTGTATGTATTGATATAAGGTGAACAATTTTAAAATTTGATATATTCTTGTAATCGCAGTTTAAAGTAAAATGAAATAAGTTGCGCATGGTTTTATTTGTAGCCATGCAGTTGGGTAAAAACCAATGTTTTTCACTATAAGACGATTCAATTTTATATCTAGCAGATATTTTATCAACCAAATCAACTAATCGGTATATACAGGTAGTATATTATATTAGTGTAACATTTAATCATATTTTAAAAATTGAAATATATGGAAGCTAACTTTATTATACAAACCACCGTGCAGCGATGTATCGCGAACACCAACGACGCGTCGCGACGCTTGTTTGCTTTTAGCCGTCTTGGTGGCTTTTACCTCTTTGTGTAATTATTATATTTTTCTGCCATTTTTTACTTCATTAAAATAAATTATACATTATAAGTGCTTTCGTTTGCTTTCCTGTCTTAATAATAACATCATTACTATTATTTTATTATTATAATTATTGTAGTACAAAATCATATTATTATATATTATATAATACATATTATTATTATTGACTTAATTTTATTATTTTTTTAATAATAATTCTATCATAAAAAAAAAAAAAAATAAATAAATAAATAACTTTGTTCTAGATGACATTTGCTCCCCAGGAATCTCATAGGATTAATTAATTAATTATAAGTATCAACGAAATCGTAAGTAATTTTATTTTGTCATATAAAATGTTACACAGAATTTAGTCAAATCAACAAAACTAATTTAGCTCGCTAGTTAGGAAAAACCCCGATAATCGCGAGTTCGCCAACAACGAATGCCAGTACCGGCGAGAATAGAAATTAAATTGGCCTTTATTGGGAATTCCTGGTCGTCGATGGTTATCGAACGATTTTGCTTTTAAATAACTCGTTTTTTTTCGGTACGTATACGATGAGGTGACTCGCACCCGTAGACATTAGACGGGATGTCACCAGTCGCTCTGCAGCTCATGCGATTGTACTTATATTACTTATATCGGTTGACGTACGACAACATAATATTATAATATGACGTATAACGTTTTTTTTTTTTTTTATTGAATTACTTAATACTACATCTTTCTTCGGTTTTTTTCTTCATTTTAGTCACCAATGTTTTCTTGTTCGATTCGGGTTTAGGTGTCGAAGTAGTAGGTATCACGTTTAACAATAGGAATAACTGCACCAAATAAATCCGTGTATTCGTCGGATGACTGGGCGTCTTCGATCATTTTCAATTGAAATTCAAATGAGTCAAAGATTCAATATCAAATGGGTCCGACGAGAGTGTATACGTCTTGGCAGCGGATCATTTTCTGTTTTTATGAGGATATGGGATTCGACTTCCAGACATAGTAGTAGTAAGTAATTAACGATTTAACACAATAATTGATTGGGCAGAAACGATGTACAGTTATAATAAAGTATAGATAGGCCAATGTTTTTATCATGAGTTCGCGAAATATTTGTGTAATAATTTTATTGATATTTTAATTTTATTAATATTTATTTAAATAAAATGTTAATAATTAATTTTATAAAAAAAAAATAATAATAAAGAATTCATGAATTTTGATAACATAGCCCTCTTCCGCGTAAATTGTTGTAGGATTATCTCCAATAAAATAAAGAAATTATTATACTATAACATTATTTGTTTAATGTAATATTAGCTTATTAACACGGTTATATACACAAATAAAAAGTGTAATTTTCACCCTCGAAACACAATTTTACTTTTAACAGTACGTTACTAAGATTACATGAAATTCAGTTTTAAAAAAACGTTATCTTCTTCTTTGGGGTTTGTCGGCCATTAAGACCATTCCGTCACCCATCCAATTCTCCAGCCTTCTCTATCCAAAGCTCGTGCTTTTCAATCCGGTTTTCCATTCAGTGCCAACGTCTTTTTTTATCATATCTTCCCACCTTAATCGAGGTTTTTTACCAACTGGGTTCTCGTCCTAAAAACGTTATAATAAAAATTATTTATTAATTTCCAAAACATCGCTTCTGATACAATGTAAAGAATATTTTTGATTATTTAATAATTATTGCTTAAAATATTGTAAATTTTTAAGTTTTGTAATAATTTGTAAAATAATATCGACAACTATAATTAAAAATGTATTCCGACCGGTGCATCAACTATATAAGTAGGTATTGAACAATTTAAATTCCTTTTTAAAACTAATGTTGGGTTACGTATTTCTGAATACACTTAAATTTAGAATTTGTTATTTTTATTAAAAAATTAGTTGGTGTAGAGACCCCTTAATATATTCTAAGTGTATAATTTAAAATTAAAATTTTCTAAATGTCAATTAGGTAAAAGTCATATACTAAAAATATTAGGTAAAAATTAGGTAAAAGTCATATATTTTTTAGTCATATAGTCGATACTAAAGGCCTTAGACTATCAGAAGGGTTAAACTCTATTAAAAAATGATTTTTAGTGTGCATTTTATTTTTAATTATTATTAAGGATGGATTGAATCATTTTTTACTGATACCCGATATAATAATCACAAGAAAAATAAGTAGATTTTTAATATATTATAAAAAATCAACTTTTTTAGCAAAAACCATGAACCGATTCTAAAATAAATCCGATACCACAAACTGATAAAACCGATATAACATAATATTAGCATTACATTATTTTAATAAGTAATCAGTTTTATTTGTAAATGAAATAAAAGTAAGGCACGGTACCGGAACATAATTACCAACAGCGTCACATAGATGAGGGAGCACTGTGGTGGTGGCCCACCCAGTAATAGTATTATTACTCTATGGGTCCATCACAGTACTATCGATATTTAGTGATTTATTATATTTATTATATTTATTATATATATTGTTATTATTGATATCAATGTATTTTATGCTGGTGGTTCTTTTTTTTTGTTTTACTGTATCGGTTCAAATATCGGTTTTGAAAATAAATCGATACCGATATGTATTTCCGATACCACCAATATCGGCTGACAAGTATTGGATCTATGATCAGCCCGCCCCTAATTATTATGATTATCAGACCACCCAATCAGCATTTATACAGTAGGTATAATAATATTTGACAACTCCGATTATGTTCCAATCGGTAATAAATAATGTATTTTTCTTATTTTGTTTTCGTGTTCGAGCGTTGCACGCTGTATCATGGGGACCATCTAAATTTACTTAATAATACTAAAGCCGGGTACACACCGGAGGATTTCGTTTATCATAACCAAGGTTCGTAAGTTCATGCTCTAAATAATGTATTTATGTACTTAAAATTGACAAAATATGTCTTAAAAAGTTCAAAAAAATGCCCTAAATATCTAAAACGATGCACTTAAAAAATGCTTACTTAAAAAAATATAATTTTTGAAATAACATGAATTATCCATTCATTTTTTTTATAGTTATATTTTATTTCTTTATGTCACAATTAAAAAAAAAAAAAAATAGATTTTAAATACTATTTGATACTATTCTTGAGCCTTCATGAACTGCGTATAATATACGGCTTTGTCAGTAACTCATTTTAAATCTGAAAATTTTGAAACAAATTTATTCATTAAATGTACGAGTATCAAGAAAATTAAAAAGGAAAAGATAATAGGTATCTACAACTTGTATTTTTAATTTTTTTTGTACTTTTTTTGACACCAGGTGTCTTCCGCTGTCGCTCCACTGTGACGGATCATACGTTATTTGTTCTCGACCGGCGGGAAAAAAGAATATTGCTCTGGATCCACCAAGGCAGACATGGGTTTTTAAATGGATCGACTGAAACCCGCGATCAAGCTCATCGGCAACATACCGTACGTATGCAGCCCAAGGTGTTTAATGTTCAAAACTTAAGGTCAAAAACATATAAGTATTTTCTTTACTGGGGGAGTAATTTGGTGACATTCGTCCTACACTAGTGACACAGACCGCGGTTACGCCGTTACTAGCCGTGGAGATATTAGGTTGTTTCCGCAACTGGTTAGGCCAGACAGGAAGGGAAGAAAGGGATGATCACCCCGGACCCAGAATTTTAAAGAGGGCCCGGAAATTAGGGACTACAAATTATTAAAAATTAAACACAATTAATGAACACTGCCGAAAAAATTAAGATATACCTTAAAATATACCCCCGGGCCCGGGTTTCTTTCTACACTTAATTATTTCTACTTGAAATATTGAAAATTGTTAAGCAGAAATAATTAAAAAATCAAAAATATTCTTTACATAGAATCAGAAGCGATGTTTTGTAAATAAATAAAAACAATTTAATTATAACGTTTTTTGGAAACTAAATTCCATGTAATTCTAGAAACTTACTGTTAACAGGTTGACTGCCATGAGACCCTTATGTGGGTCACACGATGTTTGCCAAAATGTTTTTGAGATAATTAATGATTTTGTTAATTCTGTTTATGTCATATCTTATTAAATAATTTATTAATAATTTTTTGCATAATACGTATTATATAGTTTATAGTTTTCTAATATAGAATTTATCCATTTTTTGGTGTGACCCACATACGCAGCTCAAGTTAAGCACCGTCGCCTCCAGATAACCTGATCTTCCTGATGGG